CCCCCCACTGTTACTCACACCTTCTTGTCAACTGTTGGAAATGGGCCATCCTGATTATCACCACAAAAAAGTTTTTTTTTCTCCTGCCAATAATAGCCCACCTTAACTGATTACTCTTGTTATAGTTAGTATGGCAACACCCATTTTTTCAAGTCCTCTGTGTATACTTCCTACTGTATTTTCCAGTGCATGCATTTGATCAAGTGGGTTTTAGCCCACAAAAGCTTATGCTCAAATAAATTTGTTAGTCTCTACGGTGCCACAAGTACTCCTCGTTCTTTTTACTGATACAGACTAACACGGCTACCTCTCCGAAAGCTGTACAAATAGCTTCTGCTGACTGGGCTGTTACAATGTGAGCTGGCATCCCAGGACTCTGATCCCCTGTAAATAAACTTGTGTCAGACTTAGGGTACGTCTATACTTACCTCCGGGTCCGGCGGTAAGCAATCGATCTTCTGGGATCGATCCTGGAAGTGCTCGCCGTCGACGCCGGTACTCCTGCTCCGCGAGAGGAGTACGCAGAGTCGACGGGGGAGCCTGCCTGCCGCGTGTGGACCCGCGGTAAGTTCGAACTAAGATAGTTCGACTTCAGCAGTTGCGTATCTTAGTTCGAAGTGGGGGGTTAGTGTGGACCGGCCCTTATGGATGTATCTTACTTGACAATTGAGAGCTCAAGACCATTTCACATTCTGAATTCTTGGGCTGGGCTGCCTATTTTCAAATTCTTCCTCACAATGCCCAGCATTCTAGTCCTGATCCTTCATAATCCAGTTTTTGCCCTGGACATTCTACCAACACAATCCTCCCTAGAATTATTAATGACTTACTTGTATCGAATTTCCAAAATCTCACTTCTTTTCTGATCTTCCTTGACTTAGCTCCTTTTGGCACTGTGGATCCCTCACATCTCTATCACCTTGGCACATATGGTTTTTCTGACTGGATCTCCAATGCGTTTCTTCCAACTTATCTAATAAATCTTTCACATCATACTAGGATAATAACCTTTTTTTCTTACATCCTCTCTCAGCTGGTGTCCCCAAGGGATCTGTTCTTAGTCTCCTCCTCTTGCCTTTATACTCTGCCTACATTATCTCTGATCACAGTTGACAATATCATTTGCACATTAATGACACTCAACATTTCTCCTTTCCTTCCTTTTCTCCTGCAATCTCTCATTCAGGCTTTTCTCCATTTCCATAAAATGGAATAATAAGTTGAATATTCAAGTTACAAAGAAAACAGCACCCCAATTCAAAATACCCAGACTACCTCCGAAGTATTTCTAAGTGAATAAATACTTTATTAGAAAAATAAATAATAAATAGAACTGATAATTAACATAAAAGATATAGCTAGTGTTTCAACAAAAAGTGTCTTCCTCAGAACTGAACATGCCCATAGCCTATAGGAAGAAATTTCTTATTTATGCAATAGCTTCAAGTCATGAACAGGAAATAAACCACCACATAATACTACCAACGGATATCAATCACTTAACTCATACTAATAATTGCTGGATTCAGAGCAATTAACAAATAAGGAGTCATTGAGGAGCCTTGGCTCTGACAAGACACTTTTGTATGCAAACATTAATAATAACTTTATTAGCATGATAGTAATGCCTAGAGGCCTGATCAGGATAAGGACCCTATTGTGGGGAAGCTGTACAAACACACAGTAGAAAGACACAAATGACAATCTTTCCATTGACTTCAGTTGAAGTGGCTCAGCTCTCTGAGGAGTTTACAATCTCATTTTATGCTAAACATCATTTCTGTTCACTAATACAATAGTCTTTATTTCAAGATATTTTGTTGGACTGGAAAAGTTACTAAAGAAAAGGTAACTGTTACCTGTAGCAGCACTTGGCAGGATATCCCAGGATATTAGAGAGACAGGGTAGGTGAGGTAATATATTTTATTGGACCAACTTCTGTTGGTGACAGAGAGAGAAGATTTTGAGCTATACAGAGCTCTTTTTCTGGTCTGGGAAAGGTGAGAATCACAGCTAAATACAAGATGGAACAGATTGATTAGCATAGGTAGATAGCACTATTCTAAGGAACCATTCAAAGTGGAGTGGCCTATTAACTCCACCTTGAATGGTCCCTTGGAATATGTACTAACTACCTATGCTAATCAATCTGTTCCACCTTGTATTTAGCTGTGATGCTCAGGGCATATCTACACTACAAAATTAAGCCAACCTAATTTATGCCAGCATACAGTTGCTGCAGTAATTACATTACTTGTGCATGTCTACACTTTGCTCCTTGTGTTGGCAGTGTGTGTCCTCACGAGGAGCACTTCCACCAACTGAACTGTCAGTGTCGAGCACTGTGGGACAGCTTCTGAAAGCCAGCAACAGTTGATGTCAGTCTAACTCAGGGGTGGGCAAACTTTTTGGCCTGAGGGCCAAATCTGGGTATGGAAATCGTATGGTGGGCCATGAATGCTCACAGAATTGGGGGTTAGGGTGCAGACTCTGGGGTGGGGCCAGAAATGAGGAGTTCAGGGGCCGGGGTGCGGGGCGGGAGAGGGGAGGGCTCCAGCTGGGGGTGCGGGCTCTGGGGTGGGGCTGGGGATGAGACATTGAGGGTGCAGGAGGTTGTTCCAGGCTGGGACAGAGGGGATTAGGGGTGCAGGCTCCAGGCAGCACTTACCTCAAGCAGCTCCCAGAAGCAGCAGCATGTCCCCCCTTTGGCTCCTACGTGGAGGCACAGCCAGGTGGCTCTGCATGCTGCCCTGTCCGCAGGAGCAGTGCCAGGGTTTTTGCCGCCCTAGGCGGCAGCGCTCCTCCTCTGAGCATTCGGCAGCAGGCGTCCTTCCGCTCCACGTCTTCGGGGAACTTTGGCGGCGGGTCCCGGAGCGAGTGAAGGACCCGCCGCTGAATTTCCGCCAAAGACCCGGAGCGGAAGGACCCCCCGCTGCCGAATTTCCGCCGAGGGCAACAAAATGCCGCCCCCCAAATCTTGCCGCCCTAGGCAACTGCCTAGGGTCGCCTAGTGGAAGCGCCGGCCCTGCCTGTCCACAGGCGCCGCCCCTGCAGCTCCCACTGGCCGTGACCACACAAGCCACGTTAAAGTACTGCCACGGCTGTGCTTTAGCGTTGCCAGTGTAGAGTAGCCCTAACTCTGTAGTGTACACCAGGGCCCAGAATACCTTTTGCAGACCTGAAGATCTCAGTGTATCTTCAAAGCTTGTCTTGTTCACCAACAGAATTTGGTCCAATAAAAGATATTATCTCACCTATCTTGTCTCTCTAATATCCTGGGACCAACACAGATACAATACTGCATACAACAATGGAAATTAAAAGGAACAATCACAAGGGTGAAATGCTGCAACCTGCATGGAAATTATTTAAAAATACCATAATAGTGGCTCAAATGAAATGTATACCCCCACAAATTAAAAAAAGCCACCATGGCTAAGATGCAGAATAAAAGAGGTGTTTAGAGGCAAAAAGACATCCTTTTAAAATTGTAGTAAAATCCTACTGAGGAAAATAAAAAGGAACATAATTCTTCAGACCATAAGACCTAAGGAAGTGTAAAAGCATAATTAGGTAATCCAAAAAAGGACGTAAAGAGCAACTAGCAAAAGATTAAAATGTATTTGCTGTTAGTTTTTGTAAGGACATCAGCGACAGGAAGGCTGCCAACAATCAGCGGGGCTATGAGACAATCAAAGAGGTAAAGGAGCACTCAAGGAAGATAAGCTGTTGCAGAGAAGCTAAAGGAATTTTTTGCATTCGTCTTCACTGCAGAGGATGTGAGGGAGACTCCCACACCTGAGCCATTGTTTTTAGGTGACAAATCTGAGGAACTGAACCAGAAAGAGGCATCAATAGAGGTGGTTTTGGAACAAACTGATAAATGAAACAGCAATAAGACTCGAGTACCAGATAGCATTGACCTAAGAGTTCTGAAGAAATTGCAGAACTGTGGTATGTAACCTACTGCTTAAATCAGTCTCTGTATCAGATGACTAAAGGATAGCTAATGTAACACTGATTTTTAAATAAGGCTCCAGAGGCAATCTTGGCAATTACAGGCTGGTAAGGCTAACTTCAGAACCAGGCAAATTAGTTGAAATTAGAATTATCAGACATAGATAAACGCAGTATGTTTAGGAAGAGTCGACATAATTTTGTAAAGAGACATCATACCTCAGCAATCTATTAGAATTCTCTGAGGGTGTCAACAAATGTGGATAAGGCGATCCAGTGGATATAGCGTACCTGGACTTTCAGAAAGCCTTTGACAAGATCCCACACCAAAAGCTCTTAGGCAAAATAAGCAGTCATGAGGTAAGACTTAAGGCCCTTTCATGGATCAGTAACTGGTTAAAAGATAGGAAACTAAGGGCAAGAATAAATGGTCAGTTTTCACAACAGAAAGGGGTAAATAGCAGGTACCTGCAAGGATCTGTAATGGGACCAGTCCTATTCAACATATTCATAAATGATCTGGAAAAGGGGGTATAAACAATGAGGTGGTAAAGTTTGCAGATGAAATTAAATTACTCAAGATTGTAACTCTTCAGTCAGCTTAGGATGTAACTAATAGATTTCACAGAGCTGGGAGACTGGGCAACAAAATGGCAGATGAAATTCAATGTTGATAAATGCAAAGTAATGCACATTGGAAAACATAATCCCAACTATGTATATAAAATAATGGTGTCTAAATTAGCTGTTACCACTCAAGAAAGATCTTGGAGTCATCGTGGATAGTTCCCTGAAAACATCCGCTCAATGTGCAGCAGCAGTCAAAAAAGTGACCAGAATGTTAGGGACCATTAGGAGAGGGATAATAAGCCAGAAAGTATCGTAATGCCACAATATAAATCTAAACACCTTGAACATTCTGTGCAGTTCTGGTTGCACCATCTTAAAAAGGATGTATTAGAATTGGAAAAAGTACAGAGAGGGGCAACAAAAATGATTAGGGTTATGGAACAGCTTCCATATAAGGAGAGATTAAAAAGACTGGGACTGTTTGCTTGGAAAAGAAATGACTAAGGAGAGATATGATAAAGAGCTATAAAATCATGAATGGTGTGGAGAAAGTGAATAGGGAAGTGTTGTTTACCCTTTCACATAACACAAGAACCAGGGGTCACCTAATGAAGTTAATAGGCAACAGGTTTAAAACAAACTAGTTCTTCACACACACACACATAATTAACCAGTGAAATTCATCGCCAGGGGTTGTTGTGAAGGCCAAAAGTATAACTAGGTTCAAAAAAGAACTGGGTAAGTTCATGAAGGACAGGTCTATCAACGGCTGTTAACCAAGATGGTCAGGGACACAACCCTTTGCTATGTGTGTCTCTAAACCTGACTGCCAGAAGCTGGGACTGGATGACATAGGATGGATCATGATCTCTTCATTTCCTCTGAAGGATACTGGGCTAGATGGACCATTGGTCTGATCCAGTGTGGCATTATGTGTCTACAGCCTCCCAAGGCGCACACATGATCGTAGGCACATAGCACAGGGTGCAGCGAGATAGAAAGATCAAGCAGTTCAGCTTGGATCCCATTCCTACAAGTATTTACTTAATTGAGGAATACTTGGCTCCCAATCAGAAGACTGCAGGAATGGTGGCTACTCAGGTGAGCAAAGGCTGGCAGCATCAGGCCCTGGGGACAGAAGGTCATCAAGGGCTCAGTCCCCAGGGCCCTGAGCCTATGGCAGGACAACACCCAATAGCACAGGACCAGGTGCTACCCCCTCCAGCACCCACTCAGGGCCAAGTTTCTGCAGGGACTGTCTCTCAGGGCTGGCCCCCTAAGGTTGCAAGGATTAGAACTTGGGCCTTGCACATCCAGAGAGCCCACAGCAAAGGCAGCACTTACAGCTGGTGCGGGGGCGCCTTCTTCCTGCAGTGCCTGCTGTCCTCTGGAGTCTGCCGCATGTTGCCTAGGTAGGGTGACCAGACAGCAAGTGTGAAAAATGGGGACAGAGGGTGGGGGGTAGTAAGAGCCTATATAAGAAAAAGACCCAAAAATCAGGACTGTCCCTATAAAATTGGGACATCGGGTCACCCTATGCCTAGGAGAAGAGGGGGAGCATGTGGGGAGGGGGCAGAGGGCATCCAGAGGGTGCATGTGGGGTAAAGGTGGATGCACGTGGGGGCAGGAGCACGGGGCAGGGCACAACCAGAGGGTGCATGTGGGGGAGGGTGGAAGCACTTGAGAGCGTGTGTGGGGCAGAGGGGAAGGAAGAGGTGCTGGGGGGGCAGAAGGAGTGTGCGGGGGGCAGCAGGCAGGGGCGGAGCGGGTGGCGGTGAAGCAGGCCGGGGCAGCGGGAGGGGCGCAGCAGGGGGTGCGCGGGGAGCAGGGGCAGTCGCAGGGGCTACGCGGGGAGCAGCCGGAGGGGGTGGGGACGCACCACGCAGAGGCAGCGAGGGACGCTCCGAAGGCGGCAGCTGGGCTGCCCCAGCCCCGCTATTCTGTTGCCAAGTGGTTGCTAGGAGACGCGGGCGGGCAGGGGCACCAGAGCAGGGGCGGCTCTTGAGCCTTCTTCCGCCCTGCGGCTCCGCCTTGGGCCCTAGCTGGGCCCCTCTCTCCCGGGGGAATCGCCTCCCTTGGCTCCCCGCTGGCTCCTCTCGCCGGCGCCGCAGAGTCCGGCCAAGCCCATCTCGCCCAGGCTCCTGCCCCCCGCCCCGTTGTTGGCGGCGCTCTAATCGGGCCTGCAAAACCTCTCCGCCGCCAGGTGCTGCAGCCTGGTTTGCAACGGGAGCCCCACCCAGGCTCCCCAGTGCAGCCGGAGGGAATTGTTTGGTAGATTTCTGCAGTGTAGGCAAAGCCCCAGTCAGATCAGACCTGTCAAAAACAGAAAGCGCTGGGGTGGCCAGAGCATAAGTAGGTCCTGGCTACGTTCAGAAACTGAGCAGGTTCCCTGAGCTGGTATTGAAAACTGTTTAAAAAAAACACAGTATAAACAAAATGTTTTTCGTTCCATTCCCGATAATAATCCTCACTCCGTTTTATAAAGCCCAGCAAGAGTTGCGGTTGAAAAGGGCTCTAAACTAACTTATTTCAACACCAGTTCAAGGGAGCCCAGAGCTGAAAACCATTTTCCAAAGTCCCACAATTGCCTGTCACTGGTGGGTGACAACAACACAACGCCTACATGCGTCTGACGAAGTGGGTATTATTCACCCACGAAAGTTTATGCTCCAATACTTCTGTTAGTCTATAAGGTGCCACAGGACTCTGTCACTTTTTACAACACCTACGGTACTTTTTGAATTATCTGCCCTTTTTAAAATGAGTATCAAAGGGGTAGCCGTGTTTGCTGCTTTTACAGATCCAGACTAACAAGGCTACCCCTTTGATACTCATTTTAAAAAGGGCAGATAATTCAAAAAATACCATAGGTGTTGTAAAAAGTGACAGAGTCCTGTGGCACTTTATAGACTAACAGGCGTATTGGAGCATGAGCTTTCGTGGGTGAATACATCCGAAGAAGTGGGTATTCACCCACGAAAGTTCATGCTCCAATACGTCTGTTAGTCTATAAGGTGCTACAGGACTCTTTGCTGCTTTTAAAATGAGGGCATTCAAGTTTGTCTGCCTTCCTCTCCGAAAATTAAAAACGTAAATTTTGGACATTGTAAATCTGCACATATGAATTCAGTAACTTGACTGATGGAGAAGAGACATTTTCAACTGTGGTTTTTAACCATGAGTTAAAATTAAATTAAGAACTTTTTACGATTGTCTTATGAAAGGTTTTGGATATTCTGGCTAGACTGATACAGAGATTATTTTCTAAAGTCAAAGGATGATAGTAATGAGGTGGGACACTTGGTTTTCCAATTGTTTACTATAAATCCTTTCAAGAATAATTGGATTTTAGGAGTTATCTAGAGAAGGATTTTTCATTATTTTAAGTTTAGAGATCTCCCTGAAACTAAATTAGGTAACAGGTAACACTGCATTTAGTTACCACAAAGTGGGTTAAGAAAGGGATAAAGTTGATTTAAATTTAATCCAAGAAAAGTAGACCACAGATCTCCTAAATCAACCTGCCTATGTCCTTAAACCAGTTTAATCTGATTGGTCAATTCAAAAGCTTCATTTTTCCCTTCCATGCGTGTAAAACATTTTTTTTTTAAATCCTAATGTTAAATGTTTATAGTGAGAGGAATTATCTGATCTCTTAAAAATCATTATCTGCCTCCAGAAAAAAAAAAATCATCAAACTTTACACAAAGACTTCCATACAGAAGTGAACTAGCTCTAGTCAATAAATGTTAACTTCACTAATTTCAAATAGCTGGAAAGGTTGACTCTTCCTCACGTGCCATTGCAAACAGTGCTCACTCAACTCATCACTTGCAGACTTATTACTCAGCACTTCTCCTTATATTTACATAATTATAATTGTGGCGCATGTGCTGCTATAGCAATGGCCATGTCATCACTTTCCCTATAAACCTGGTGTTTAAAGGATTTATAAATTTGCCCCTGGATAGAACTTGCTCCACAAGGTCTCAGCCTGGGAGAAGGAGAATGTGCTCCATGCCACTGAATGTGGGAAGGAGAAGCACTGGTACAACTAGGGCTGTTATATCCCAGCATTTTCCTGTAGCTACAAGACCAGTGTGGAAATAAATAATGTTTTAAATATTCCTATGCAGGAAAGGACTTTAATGTGAAGGGAAAACAGCACTTTAGGATCAGTGAAGTTAACCTTATCTCCACCTACAACTTGTATTTTACAACACTTTCTCTTTTCTACATGCCTGGTTAAGAGAATCCCCTAGGGCCTTACACTGTCAGAGAACATACTTCACCTCCAAATACCCTCTGGATCAGTGGCAGTGCTAGCCCATTGGGGGCCCTAAGCAAGAATGTTCCCCCTGCCCCAACACAATAAAAAGTGAATAGGGGCCCCCTTTGAGCTGCTAGGGGCCCTAAGCAATTGCTTAGTCTGCTTAAGCCCAGCACTGGCTTTGCACTAGATTGTAGCAGTAAAAGCAGGAACTCTATAGAGAAGCCCTGACTACATTATAGTGAGATGCCAAAGCCATCCACTGTTGCTACAGCTACAGCAGCTACAAGAGAGGAAGAAGGGGAAAAAAGCCAAAACAAACAACCAAAAAAACCCCAGAAGCTGTGCCTGGAGCAGCATTATAGAAGAAGCTGCATCCTGATCAGCTGTGAAGCTTGAAATAAAATTCAGAGGCAAATCCCAGAAGGAAAGGAGAGAGCTGCAAGGGCTTCTGGGAGTTTGCAGACTAAAACTCTGGCTGACCTCAGACTCAAGGGACTTGAGAGAAAGTTGGTGGGAAGAGAAGTGCCTTGGCACAGGCAGTTGGGATGCTAAACCTTAAGTGGGGAGGGGGAAGAAGTGCCAAAGAGCTGAAAGAAGCCTGAGGGTGCTGAACATTCTGTTTTTTGGAATGATATGTTGTAGTTATCCACGTTTCCATTATGTGTAATAAGCTACCAGGGTCTGAGAACTCCCATCTGATTTCAGGGCTCTCTAATCTGCCACACCCAAGCTATACCTGTCAGACTCTCTGGCGTGGCTCACAGCCGTGAGTGCCAACCTTGGGGTAGAAAGTCAAAAAGCAGGGCAGAAACTCCAAACTGGTTGTATGGTCTACAATTAGATTTCACCAACCCAGTAACAGGTGTAAACTCCTAAAGCACTATAACATTCTTACCATGGAGTCACAGACAGTCCCCTTGAGCACACCAGTCTATCTTGCCAACTAGGCAAGCTGGGCTATATGATAGATTGTCACTTTAAACCAAAAATCATAACAATATTCAGGTTACTCCCAATCCCAAAGGACCAGTCATTTTTTGGAATATGTTGAGTCAGACATACGTAAATTATACCAGTAGAAAGAAAAGTAGGTGCTGCAGAAGTACAGCCTAGTCCTTTATATAAGATGTGGTGTGGCCAGGTAAAATCCTGTCTCTGAGTCTGAATCCAAATCAAGTTTCTGGGTGGCAAGCTATCACTTGCCTCTGTATGGTTAGGCTTAGGCATTAATGGTCTTGGGCTCAACTGAAGTTTAAGTCCAGCCAGATGTTGTGGGGACGGGGGGTGGAGCTGCACCACATAGTGGAAGCTCCAGTGGGGATTGTGCCTCCCTGGATCTTCAAGGAAACTGGAGGAGTATCTTCTGCACCAGCCCTGAGGGTGCTGCAGCCTATTCCCCACCATGCACTGGGTGGAGAGATGTCCATGGGCCCACCTCCTCCCTGCCGCCACCCCTTTCAGAGGTGGCTAGTGCAGATGATCAGGAATGGACTGTCATAGAGCTGGAAGGGGAAGAAGGATACCTACAAGCCAGTGGGGAGGGGTCTCCATTAAATAAATAAATGTATGCTTTCACAACACTTTGCAGAAGCAACTTCCCATAAATGCAAAGAATTACAGTTTACTAGGGTTGCCAACTGTCTAATCACACAAACCCAAACATCCTTGCCCCGCCCCTACCCCGAGGACCCGCCTCTGCCCCTTCTCTGAGGCCCCACCCCGCTCACTCCATCCCCTCTCCCTCTGTCGCTCACTCTCCCCACTCTCACTCACTTTCACCGGACTGGGGGAGGGCGTGCAAACTCAGGGCTGGAGCCAAGGGGTTTGGAGCGTGGGAGGGGGCTCTGGGCTGAGCGTGGGGCAGGAGGTTGGGGTTCAGGAGGGGATGTGGGGTGCAAGCTCTGGGAGGGAGTTTGGGTGCAGGAGGGAGCTCAGGGCAGGGGGTAAGGTGTGGGAGGGGGTTCAGCGTGCAGTAGAGGGTTTGGGGTGCTGGCTCCAGGAGGGAGCTGTCATAGAGCTGGGGACTGGTCCTGCTTTGAGCAGGGGATTGGACTAGATGACCTCCTGAGGTCCCTTCCAACCCTGATATTCTATGATTCTATGAGGGGCTGGGGGTTGGGAGGGAGCAAGGGGTCTGGCCTCCAGCCGGGTAGTGCTTACCTCGGGCAGCTCCCGGGAGGCAGCGCAGCAGGGCTAAGGCAGGCTCCCTGCCTGGCCTGGCCCGGCCCCGTGCCACTCCTGGAAGCAGCTGACATGTCCCTGCGGCCCCTGGGAGAGAGCTGCAGTTCCTGGCCAATGGGAGCTGCAGAGTCAGCACTCGGGGTGGGGGCAGCATGTGGAGCCACTCTTGCTCTTGCCCTCCCCCCCCCTCCCCCCCTGAGGCCACAGGGATGTGCGGCTGCTTCTGGAAGTGACAGAGCTGGGACAGGTAGGGAGCCTGCCTTAGCTCTGCTGTGCCACCAGACTTTTAGTGGCCTAAAAATCTCCTGGTTTGGCTTTTGTAGCCTCTGGGAGATAGAGCCTGATTCCAGGAGACTCCTGGTGAAACTCGGAGGGTTGGCAACCCTAACAACAGCCACTAGTTAAACCAGGCCAGAGACAGAGAGAAAGGGTGACTGGCTGACTTTCCTTTGATGTCTCAATCTCACTGAGGAGGATGGGGATCCCAGAAGGAGAGAAAAG